CTCGTTCCACAACACGGAGCTGTGCTGTGGCATCCTTGCGAAGAAGCTATCAGCGAGATCCATTCTTCCAGCCTTGGCATAAGCTCCTAGCATGATATTTCCAGAGACTACGTCTCGTCCTGGCGGCATGCTCGCAAACAAGCTCTCGGCTTGAGCTGCTTGGAAGCCAGCAGCATGACGTTCCATGAAACTATATCTCGCTCCAGCATGAGCTCAAACATCTGCTACTTTTCCAGCTTTAGCTAGAGCCTGCGTTGCCGAGTTCCACGATTCAGCGAAAAGACTGCTACATTGACGTGAATTCCCACACCGGGCATATGCCGAGATCATTAAGTTCCAGGTGATGGTGCTTCGATCTGGCATTTTTTCGAAGTATACCTTTACGCTACCAATGTTACCACTGTATACGTAGCCTGATCTTATGGTTGTCCAAGTCAGAGCGTCGTACAACGGCATTCTTTGTAGTAAACGTTTTGCATCCTCAAGTTCTTCTTTTTGGGTAACCGCTGATAACCTTGCGTTCCATGCTACCACGTCTCGGTATTTGTACCATGAAAGATTGTTTTCCGTCGCTGGTATTTCATTATTTTTCCCGTATGCTACTATCGTAGTTGTGGAAGAAGAAAGGCTGCTTTCGGGGAGAAGATCAAACAAGTCCCTGGCCTCCTCTAAATGCCCGGCTCTGGCTTTCACTGCGATCGTGGTGCTCTAAGTTACCAGCGAGTGCTGAGCCATCTTTCTGAAGATTATATCCACCTATCGCAAGTTCCAGCTGTGAATGTAAGCCGCTAGTAGAAACTTCCAGCTGCTGTGCAATCGAATCGAAGGCCAGTGTGGCAGCCCCGCATTTGGACGAGGAGGTTGCCCATGTAAGTCTCCCGATGGAAGTCATGAGTCTTGAGCTTCTCGTGAGCTTTCTGAGTAGCGCCTTTGTTCTGCTAAGAAGTGCCTCAAAGGAGGCCCTCTCCATTAGAAACCATCATTCTTGACTAAGAGGGCACAAAATTTTCACTATAGTTATCAAACTATTGATGTACAAAACTAAAATTATGGCTTTTGCCACAATAGCAACATTGATTCAGCAGCATAAACAGATAAATGCCCAGTGTTTTCAACTACAAGTTGAGTAGGAAATATACAATCAGGTTGTGGCTGGCAATAGATATTTGTGAACCAGAAACCTCTACCTAGACTGTCTAGAAGCACCAAATTCCCATCCATTTGGAGTGTGAGCTTGCATCTACTCCTTCCACCAGTGCTGCTAGACCACAAAACCTTCACTTTATTGCAGACAACACCATGTTGCAATCCTGCTCCAGTGAGAATTCATGCTGAGCATTACCTGAAACAGGCTTCTCCTCAACATACACAGCAGATCCCCTTGCTCCGAGCTCTCCACTGACTATGCACGAACCAAAAACGTTACAGTCTTGTTGGTATTCAAGAAAAATAGCTGGATCAAACCTGTGTTGAACACTACGATGGTCTTGATCACTTTTGCCAGCAATATGTTTGTGGAGAGTAGAAATTCTAAGAAAATTTAAAGGCAGACCACGAATATAGTACCACACTGAATAATCCATGCCTATTGTACCAAGAGCAGCTGCTATATGGCCATATTTGTGACGATGAGCCTCTGTTGCAACTTGTGAGCAAAACTAAGAGCCTGAACAACATACCTTCGGGCAAATCATGTGTAAAGTTAAATGTGTTTAAAAGCCATTTCGGATTTTGTCTTCGTCGTTGACATGATATAAATGCCAAGCAAGGAAAGAAAATCAAAATTTTGAATCTCTAAAGTTCATACTTGACTATAGTTTTGACATTTTGGAAATTGATTTGTTTTTACTAATATAATTTTATGTGGACTTAAAAAACTTAAGGCCTATGCCACAGGAGTTGTATTGATTCTGCAGCATACAGAGACAAATGCCCGGTATTTTCAACTACAAGTTGAGTTAGAAAGATACAGTTGGGTTGTGGCTGGCAATAAATGTTTGTGAACCAGAAACCTTCATCTAAACTATCTAAAAGCACCAAATGCCCATCCATTTGTAGCGTGAGCTTGCATCCACTCTTCCCACCCGTATTGCTCGACCACAAAACCTTCCACTTCATTGCAGACAGCACCATGTTGCAATCTTGCTCCAGCGTGAATTCGTAGCGGCCATTACCTGAAACAAGCTTCTCTCCAGCATAGAGTTTGCTCCTAGCTCTCCACTGGCCATGCACGAAGCATAAACGTTACAGTCTTCGTTGTAGCTAAGATATAAATCTGGATCAAAGTATGCCTCACTGCTACCAAGTAGATGATTTTCAGTCGTAAAATTATGCATAGAGTTTAAAGGTGGGTTAGGAAAATGGTACCACACGGAATACTCTATGGCAACCACGCTCGAAGTCGCAGATATATGACCATATTTGTAAATTTGAGCCTCCCTAACAATTTGCGAGGCCAGATAGTCGAAGGCTGGTCGTAGAGTTAACCCAGACACCATCATTGGGGATGGGCGAAGGCTGCAGCTACCATCAGACTCCCTTGTTAGCAAAGTAAGTTTTGAGAAACAATGGAGCCTACGATTCACGTCTATGCTGAAAATCCTTTTCCATGTTCTTGGAAAATAGTGTGCCTCTGGACGAACATCTTCATCAATGTGCTGGCGAATACGTGCTTCCAAGCTGTTTACTTGCTGTAGACCTGCCATGAAGTATGGACGGCTTCGTTCCAGAAAAATGACACATGTGACGCAAATGACACATTGCCAAAGCAACGCTAACACCCTCAACATCATCTCTTTCGCTAACATATGATATTTGAGGCTATATAACAACACGAGGCCCACCTTGTTCTTGTCTTCTTTGTTGTGACTTTGTGCTTCTTCTTTTGTCAATCGTTGTCGATTATATTCACTCAGAAAGAAATGCAACGAGCTCTTTTGCTATTTTCAAATTTCCAGAGTATGCTATCCAGGCTCGACAAGTGGCATGACCATGCCAATCTCGTGGCGTTCCTTTGGAGCGCAGCTGATATGTTTTATCTTCGCAGACGGCTACCTGTGTTTCCACCGACCAGAGTGAGCGATTATTTGTAGTCTCCGCAACTCCAAAGAGTCAGTCCATTGCTAGGGGTGAGAAATGCCCGCTTTGTCTTGCAATTTTAACTCTCCCCATAATTCGATCATGCTCTCCAGATCTCCAGCACCGGTTTCGGGCGATTCTAATCGAAGCAGGAACAAGATGAGAAGCAGCATTGTCGCCGCCGCTCCTGCCGCCGAAGACAGCATCACAAAAGCGGCTCCGTTGACCAAGCTCGACCTCGTCGACTACCTCGCCTCTGGTTGCAAGCCCAAATCACGCTGGAGAATCGGCACCGAGCACGAGAAATTTGGATTCAATAAGAGCACGCTCAAGCCACTTGACTACCCCCAAATCTCTCAGCTATTCGAAGCACTCTGTGAAAGATTTAACTGGCAAAAAGAAATGGAAGGTGACAAGGTCACAGGTCTTAAGAAGGATGGACAGAGTATTTCCTTGGAACCTGGTGGTCAGCTGGAACTCAGTGGTGCTCCCCTCGAAACTCTCCACGCGACTTGTGCCGAGCTCAACTCTCACCTCTACGAGGTGAAGGCCGTGAGTGAAGAAATGGGCGTGGGATTCTTTGGGATGGGCTTCCATCCAAAGTGGCCAGTTGAAGTATTCGACATGATGCCAAAGGGGAGGTTTCAGATCATGAGGAACTACTTGCCCAAAGTTGGGAAGTTTGGCCTTGACACCATGTTCCGGACGTGCACGGTCCAGGTAAATCTCGACTTTTCATCCGAGGAGGACATGGTGAAAAAGTTTAGAGTTAGCCTGGCCTTGCAACCGGTTGTCACGGCGATCTTTGCAAACTCGCCATTCACAGAGGGCGCACCGAATGGCTACTTAAGTTACCGGAGTTTGACGTACACGGACATGGACGGGGACAGGACCGGTGATCTTCCATTCGTTTTCGAAGACGGGTTTTCTTTCGAGAGGTACGTTGACTACGCTCTTGAAGTGCCCATGGTGTTCGTCTACAGGGACGGAAAGCACGTAGATTGTACTGGCCGATCTTTCAAAGACTTTCTCCTTGGGAGGCTACCAGAGCTTCCGGGAGAACTCCCAACGCTCAGCGACTGGGAGAATCACATCAACACCATCTATCCCGAGGTCCGGCTCAAGAAATACTTGGAGATGAGAGGGGCCGACGAGGGGCCGTGGAAGAGGCTGTGTGCTTTGCCGGCTTTGTGGGTGGGACTCTTATACGACGAAGAAGCTCTGGAGAGTGCTTATCAGTTGATCAAGGATTGGAGTCGGGCCGAGCGAGCGATGCTGAGGCGCGAAGCTCCAAAGCTGGGATTGAAGACACGGTTTAGGAACGGGACTTTGAAGGACGTAGCACAAGAAGTGTTGAAGCTGGCAAAGGAGGGACTGGAGAGAAGGGGTTACAATGAGGTGAAGTTTCTGGAAGGTGTTGCTGAGATTGTGGAAACGGGAGTGACTCCAGCGGAGAGGTTGCTAGAGTTGTACAATGGTAAGTGGGACAAATGTGTGGATCCAATGTTCCACGTGCTAGAGTATTAAACAAAGCTTACAAAGCCATAGCTCTTTCCTCGTCTTGTAAAGTTTGAGAGATTCCACAAACTGGAATGGGCGATGGAGCTTTGGGCTTTAAAGAATGTGTTGAAATGCTCAAGTCCTCCCAGTCACCCACGGACGCAAAGAGCGCCCACGCCCGGGCCTTGGACGCCGTACAGTATATGCCCGAATCGGGCACATATCTCTCGAACCTGGTCATCCAAATGTACGGCCGGTGCGGCAGCGTCCAAAATGCCCGCTGCGCCTTCGATTCCATGCCCGTTAAGAACGCCTTCTCGTGGAACCTCATGCTCGACGCGTGCATCAAGAACGGGTATCTCGAAGATGCGAGGAGAATCTTCGACGCCATGCCGGAGCGCGACATTGTCTCGTGGAACGCGATGCTCGCCGCATTTTCCTTGAGAGGGCAGCTTGGAGAAGCGAAGCTTTTGTTTGAAATCATGCCAGAGAAGGATATAGTTTCATGGAACTCGATTCTTGCGGCATTGGCAAAGTCTGTGCAGTTGAGGGCTGCTAGAGAATTGTTTGTTTCAATGCCCTTCTGGGATATCGTCTCTTGCAACACATTGCTAGGAATGTATGCCCAGAATGGACATCTTGTGGAAGCAAAGACTCTTTTTCACCAGATGAGGTATCCAGACATGGTGTCCTACAACACTATGCTCTTAGCATACTCTGAGAGCCGGAGCTACTTTGAGCTTCAGAGTTTGTTCTTACAAATGCCATCTTGGAACCAGGTCTCGTATAACACAATGCTGTCGGCGTATGCGCAGAGCGAGAATCCTGAAGAATCGAAGTGGATTTTTGATTCCATGCCAGAGAGAAATTTAGTGTCGTGGAATGCCATGCTCGCTTCATATGCCCAAAACGGGCATCTTGAGTGCGCCAGGTCTTTGTTTGATTCCATGCCACAGCGGAATCTTATGTCGTGGAATGGACTGCTAGCAGCATATACTTCGAGCGAATGTTCGCAGGCAGCTAGCTGCACTTTTAATTCCATGCCAGAACACAATATAAGCTCGTGGAATGCTTTACTCACTTCATGTAAGCTTGAGGAATGCACAATGGTTTTTGAAACTATGCAGGAAAGAGACTTAACGTCTTGTAATATAGCTATTTCAGCATATGCCCGAAATGGGCATATCTCAGAAGCTAGAACCTTGTTTAACAGCCTGCCAACATGGAATATGATATCTTGTACTACACTAATAGCAGCATATTCGAAGTATGGAGACATCAAAGATGCCAAACAGCTGTTTGATTGTATGCCAGAAAGAGATATAATAACATGGAATGCTATGCTGTCTGCATATTGCTTGGTAGGGCATCTTGAAGAAGCAAAGTGTTTGTTTGATCAAATGCCAGATAGAAACCTCGTAACATGGAATGCCATGTTGGCTGCTTTCGCTCAGCATGGACATTTTGAGGAAGCAAGACCTCTTTTTTGTGGCTTTGTTACCTCTAATGGCTTGCTAACAGCATATGCTTTGTCTGGACATATAGTGCAAGCAGAACACATATTCTACAGTTTACCTGAAAAGAATTGTGTGTCTTGGACCGCAATGCTTACAGCATATGCCAAGAATGGGCAACCTGCAAAGGCCAGGAAACTCTTTCTTTATATACCTGTGAAAAGCCTTACTACTTGGAATGCATTCCTTTCTCTAAGTGCCCACAATGGGCAAAGCTATCTTGTATTAAGACTGTTTAGAAAGATGACCATGGACGGATTTAAGGCTGACAAAAATACAATCACAACTCTACTTCAAGTTTGTAGCAATACAGGTACTGTGAAATCTGGTATTAAATGTTTTCAGTCATCAATCTTAGACTATGGCCATGATCAACCCACACAACAACATTTTGGTTGCATTGTACATCTGTTTGGGAGATCTGGATACCTTAATGAAGCATATGAGCTGATTGAAAGTATGCCTTACATCCCTGATAAACAAGAGTGGACAAGCTTTTTGGATGCTTGTAAACACCAAAAAAACATGAGGGCTGGCATTACTGCTGCCAAACACTTCAAAACGAAGTGCCTGGATTCCACATATGTTCTTCTTACAGGAGCTATTTAGCACAGTACATAATCAATTTAGAATCTTTAATATAATCTTAGTCTTACTCAGATCAAGGTCCTTAAGCAATAGTATTTATAGGAGGTGGTCTGAAAAGAACAAATAATTTTTTGTGCACTGCATTGCACCAACCTTCGTATATAATAAGAAGCCAGATTTAAAGACATTGATAACACAATAAATTAATGGAGTGAATATTTGGTTTCTACTCAAGAAACAAGTGAAAGGTATTAATGAGTAGCACCTCCCTTTTATGAACTTTACCTAATAAATAACTTAATTACTTCTTATACTACTCTTTGCACTCAAACCATTTGGTACTTACATCCTCAGTAAAAGAACCTAGGAATATCTATGTAAGTTGGAATTCTTCCACTACACATATTCAAACATTTTCTTGTCTTGGCCAGAAGTCACAAAAAATGTGGCAAGAGCACTTCACATAATCAATTTCAAGCTTTTGGATTGCCTACAACATCACAATAACCTTTTTTGCCTCCAACACCATCTGCAACAAGAGCCCCACCATAAAAATGAAGGGAAATTTTACTATGACTATTAGGAGATTTTTAGAGATGATATGTCAGAAAGACATTAGATGCCAATACCCTCCAAAAAGAAAGAGAATTCCACCTTGGCATAGTGATGACAGTGATCCTCATTTGAAGAGGAGCTCATAACTGTAAACTCAATGAATTAGTTTTTATTTTATTGTCCATCTCTTTATATTTATTGAGGAGTGTATTAATTATTATTAGCTATAGTAAGAATCAAACCCCAAACCTTTACTCATAGGATTTGGACCTAACATAAATGAGTATCTAAGATTAATATAGATTAGTTTTCTAGATTAGTTGAGGGTTAGACTAGATGAGCCCACATAAAAGTAAAGTTTTGAGGATTTTATATTTAAAGTGTTCAAAATAAATTTATCTTTTCTTCTCTATTGTTTAGTATTTTAATAATTTTGTCATCTTCCCTTCTCTTAATGATGAGTTTTTGATAGTTTAAACACTTTGATATTCCTAGATCCTCTTCTTCAGGTCAAATGAGATCTTAATACTCTAAAGTTATATGAAGCATTAAAGCAATCTAATATAATACTTCACTCGCAACTCAATAAATTATTCAGCAATAATGGATATGTAGTTTGAGTTTTGTGGCTTCCTCAACCAAGTTAGGCTTTGAATTATTATATAGCCTAACAAATATTCCATTTCGACTTCTTGTGTTGGCCTGATTAGATCTTTTCTTACTAAGACACATTCTCCACCCTTTTAAAAGAGTGATCATATCCTTCAAGATTTGATCTATCAGTTCAGCACTTCACTAGCATGTTTAGTGATACAAATTGAGGGTTGATACTACATGATAAATGATATTGCATTAGAGTTTTAGAAAGTTACTATTGATATTTCATGGGATGATGCAGCTTTTAAGAAACATTTCTACCTTGGTCTTCATGATAATATTAAAGATTTCATGCTTTCTCATCCAAATCCAACATGGCTCATAATTGCCATTATTCTTGTTGTTTGGTATGATAATAAACTACAAGAATAACTATTGAATCATCGTCATAAAATATTTATTCCTTGTTGAACAATCCTAGTCTTGGAGCAACTAACACATTATAAAAGATTAAATTTTCTATTCTATTTTAGTCACTTAACCATGTTTTTGACCACTTGGAGGAATTTCATTCACAACAACCTTTGTAGATTCTCATCTCGACTTGGGGTATTTATTAGCTTATAAATATGTGTTTTTACAACTTGTAAGTCATAAATTTTTCCTTTCCAATTTACCAGCATACCTCATGTATCTAACCATCTCTACCTTGATCTTAATTAAGTTCCTGTACTAAGGTCCCACCTATTGTACTAGCTCTTATTTGGTCACACTTAGATTCAACTACTTATTGCATGAGTAATAAGATGTTAGTTATCCATCCACAAATTCTTAAATTCTCTTTTAATCCCCCTCTTTGGATTAGATTGGATTTAAGGTTTAGCTACACTCCCCGTACGTACAAACAACTAAGCACACCAAACATTTAAGTTCCTAAATTCCCTATGTATAACAAAACTTGATTATAAGACCCTTTAAATCCTAAACTTTGAGCGCATTTCTTGTTTTGGGACTCTAGGGGGAAACACTATGGTTTAATGGCCCAATATAGGTACCAGCCCTTAGGAAGGAGTGAAGACTAATGAGCTATATAGTATTCAAATGGGGCATCACTCTATATGAGCCAGGAACACTACAATCAATTTCCTTTCTAGGAGTGAGAGTTACTTTTGAGAATTTCTTTGGGTGGCCTTTTCAACACTACTTAAATCCGTATTCATTCCCACTCAATGCTACTAACCCCCAATTAGAACCTCAACTCAGTTTGGAAGCACTACTAGAGAGTTCTTTCAAAACTAGGTTCTAGATCTCACTATCCCTATTATATTTTTAAAGCCCCCTCCATTAAATCTCAAGTGTTTTCCAAGTTTTCCTCTGGTTCCTATGTTGCTTGGTAGGGTGGAAATTCTTTCCACTTTACATAGAACTTTATCACTTTGTGTCTTTGTCGCTAGTTTTTACATGCATTAAGGATGGCCTCGACTTTGTATTCTTGCTCCCTTTGGATAACCTTAGGTAAAAATTTCATTTGGTCCTTACGAAATGGGTCCTCAAAGTATGACTTGAGTAAAATCACATGGAACATATAGCACATTTTCCCTATCTCCCAGGAAAGTCAGAGATGGTAAGCCATCTTACCAATTTGAGCCTCAATTTCATAAGGCTTTGCGAATCTACTTGCTTAAGGAACCCAAAATCAATTCTAGGAATACATGCATTTACCTTTGGGCCAACTTTTGGTTGATCCCATTTGGTAACATTAGGTTCTTAGTGTGCAATTACGCCTTCTCTCCAAATTAGAACTCTATGTTTCAGCACTTTTGGTTTGTATATTTGGTTTGTTTTTGTTGAGTCTGTTCCAAAGAATCCCTCACTAAATTTTAAATGTTGATTTTTTTTGCTGTGAATGCCTCAATTGTGAGTAACTTTTCATGATACTCAACCATGCCACATTCTACAGAACCTTCAATAACTTGCCCATTGATGATCTTCCCATATACTCACTTTGATACTCAAATGTGGTGAGTTATTATAACACATTTCCACAAGTCCTAAATGACTTAATCAATCTGATTTTTAGAGACATAACATCACAAATAATCCTTCAGTTGCATATTCACCTTTTTCATTTGTCCATTTATCAAGAAATGTTATTACTATAATACTTGACTCAATACTCAATACATATTTGTGAGTGATAAGCTATGTTGAATTTTAATTTGGTGCAATACTACTCTAGAAGAGTTTTCCAAAACCTGGTGAAAATTTTATCTCAATCTAAGATAATTTATTCCGGCCTTCCCTGCACTTGAACCACTTGTTTGAATAATAGCGTCACCACACCTGCATCCACTTCCATTGTAGTGGGTATAAAATGTGCTATTTTAGAAAACCTATCCACCACTACAAATATTGCATCAACCCCTCATTTAAGGGGAGTTTCGTGATGAAGTCCATTGTAAGACATTTTTATGGACGATTAAGAATTGGAAGGCTTTGCAACAAGACCCATTAGCTTTAGTTATGGCCTTTACTTGATGACATATTGGACATGTGTTTATATAGTCTTGAATATCCTTAGCCATATCTAGCTAGTGATATTTTCTCTTAAGTAAGCCTATTGTTTTAGGCATTTCACTGTATCCTATAAAAGGTCTATTATGACACTTTTTTAAAGTTACATTCCTTAGTTCCCCTTGTGAAACATACACCCTCATCTACTTATAATAAATGAGTCTATTGCATTCCACATAACTCATTTTTTCTTCCCTAATATAGTGCATGTAATCATGGGATGAGATTTGTATACACTTTTACCATGGATCCTTGGAACCTTAGGGGATAAATGGGGATAAATAGCCACTAAGGGCTTTTTCATCAAGCAATTGCATATTTTTCAATTGGTTTAAGGGGAGAGAGATAAGGGTGTATTACATGTTGTAGCGCATGTGATTATGGGATGAGATTTGGATATACTGTCACCGTGGATCCTTGGAACTTTGGGGGATAAATGGGGATAAAATAGCCACTAAGGGCTCTCTCATAAAGCAATTGCTCCTTTTCCAGTTGGCTTAAGGGGAGAGAGATAAGGTGCACTATAGTTGGTATCGGAGCAAATGGCACGGGTTCGATTCCCATTGATTAGTGGCTACTTAAAAGTATAATATACCCTTGAACAAGGTATATTCCTACCTCTAAATTTGAAATCGTACGTATTGGGCATCTATGCGTACGTCCTTCCTCTTGTGTGGAGTATCCACGGACGAAGGTATCTATCGTGGGATTGCGGTACGGGTGGATGACTAGTTGCCTCATATGGAATAGCTAATCTACACAATGGAAAGATTGGTAGATTGAGTGTGGAAATGGAGGTGCTGGTTCCCCTTGGCTTAGTAGGGGTTGTTAGTCAATAGTCAATGAGAACATTGACATCTCTGAAAGGGGGGTGAATGTAGCGCATGTGATCATGGGATGAGATTTGGATATACTGTCACCGGGGGGGGTTGTTAGTCAATAGTCAATGAGAACATTGACATCTCTGAAGGGGGGGTGAATGTAGCGCATGTGATCATGGGATGAGATTTGGATATACTGTCACCGTGGATCCTTGGAACCTTGGGGGATAAATAGAGATAAAATAGCCACTAAAGGCTTTTTCATAAAGCAATTGCCCCTTTTCCAGTTGGCTTAAGAGGAGAGAGATAAGGTGCGTTACACATGTAATCTAGTGCATGTGGTTTTTACCCTTTATTCTATAGTGATTTACCATAGAATAACCATGAAGTAGAACTTAAACCTTCCATATGCCATGTGTCACATCCCATGTGTCCAAAGGATAGTGGAGTGGAACCCAAGTTTTAAAGCCTTGG